TTTTAGCACATTCATCGTATTTTTATTTTTTCAAGTTGGTTAATTTTATCCCATTTTTAAGCATGTGCCTTTGTTTGCGTATTCATGAACTAAATTATATATTATAATTATATTGATAATATAATTAATAAAATCTTAACTAAACACTTCTCTTATCTTATTAATATTAACCTCTTGATTTTCGGATGTCACCTTTCATTACATTTACAATCAGGAGCCATGCATAAAAGTTAATAGTTCCAATCAAACCCCCTATAGATAATTAGCAAATGTGCTCAGCCTAAGTGGCAGACTCGCAGGGATGCTATGTGATAAATTTTTAAACTTTCTTGTTTGATTTGGATGAATTTTAATTTATTTTTCAATTCAAAATGAACTAGGTTTGCAATATCCATAAATATATAGATATTTATGGTTCGTTTTAAGAACATTAATTATGTTCTAATATCATTTTCTATTGCAGACGTGGTTTATAATGTATAATTTTTTCTCAGTTTGAATAAATGACTTATTTCAGTTTGAATAAATAATCTTTCTGTTTTTCTCATATTTCTCTTAAAATTATAAAAAAAAATTACTAACTTAAATTACAAATATATTTAAAAGTTAATAATTTTTCTATTTATTAATAATATTTTATATAAAATATATAAAATTAATCATGGATTGATGAGTTTCAGTTTGATATCTATATTATACATACAAAATAAATAAATAATTTTATTTACATTTATAAAATAAAATTAAATGCCTTTATATATTAATTCAAAAAGATAAAATTATTTAAACTAACATAACTACAAAGTAGCTATTTGATATAAATTAAAAAAATTATAATATAAGATAGTAAGTCGTGTGAGTAACGGTGTCATTTTAAATTTAAATAATAATATATTTTTTATAAAAAATATTTAAAAACTAAAACAATCCTTGTTGTTATTATTATTATTTAATTTTACATATAATTTTCTTACGAAAAAATTTCAAAATTGGTCCTATAACTTGGCCACAGTCTAGAAAACCACCCCGATATTCATCACTTTCAAACTGGGTCCAATATTTTGACAATTTAATCAATTTTGGTCCCTTTTTATCCTCCCTTGGATAAAAACGTGACGTGGCGTGACTAAATCTTACGTGGCGCCTAGTCAGACCTTATTTATGATTTTTGTGCATAATGTGGAAATAACACCTGGATATAACACCTTTGCCTAGTAAGACCCATTCACGCCGCCGCCACCCATCCACTTGCCGCCGCCTGCCTCTGGCCAAACTCTCCAGATTTTAAAAATTTTTACATCATCTTGTAACTCTTCTCCGGGCCAACAACACATCGAAATTTCACATAGAAATTTCGACGGTAAGGCTTCCAATTTTCCGGCCAAAACTTGTAGATCTACAAAATTTTTCCAGCCTCTTTTTGCAAATTTCCGGTGACTCGATTTGATCCAAGTGAATCCGAAGGTACCTCCAAACTCCTCTTGCCGAGCCGCATCTAGTGACATCCACTGTTGCCAGAACCGATGAATTTTTTCCGGCAACGAATTTTCCGGTCATCTTCTCTGCGAGCCACCACTTCAGTCCGGCGATATCGAGCTCCACAGCGCGGCCCGACCACGACCTCCAGTCAGAGCGACGTGACCCGACCTCCAGCGAGACTTGCTCCATCACAGTGGAAGTTCACCGACCCGACCTCCAGCGAGCGCGAGCTTTACTCCGCGACCGACCTCCGACGAGGCTTGCTCCCTCACAGTGGAAGTTCACCGACCCGACCTCCGGCGAGCGCGAGCTTCACTCCGCGACCGACCTCCGGCGAGCCTTGCTCCCTCTTCACCGCTTGTTTTTTTTTTATATTTATTTTGTTTTTGTGTTTTAATTTTTCACTTTTTTATTTCCATTTAATCTTGAAAGTAGATGTGGATAGTTTGATTTTGAGTCAACATTTTTTAATCCTGCCACATAATCCTAAATCACGCAACGTCAGATTTAGTCATGCCACGTCACGTTTTTTATCACGTGGTGGATAAAAAAGGACCAAAATTGATTAAATTGTCAAATTATTGGACCCAATTTGAAAGTAATCAATATCGAGGTGGTTTTTTAGAATGTGGCTAAGTTATAGGACCAATTTTAAAATTTTGTCATTTTCTTACCAAGTACCAATTTAGTACATGGGTATTGTAGTAGTGATGTATTTATAAGAAAAGTGTAGTTTTCATGATTAATATATCACTCACTCATGAAAATGTGCTAGTGCATTAGTTGTAAGTTGTAATATATGTTAGGTATATGAAACGGAAATCCCATGAGATATTGGGCATGCCAGCGCCATTACAACTGCATAAATATATAAATATTAAGTGTTATTATTTATTTATTTTTTGTTGGCCAATCAAAAATTAATATTAAAAAGGCGAAATTGCATATTAATACACCACCTTTTATTTTTTGCAATTTAATCACCAACTTTGTAATTTAGTAATTTAATACACCACTTTGACTAATGTTTGTAATTCGAATCAGAGGGCCCAATTCGGGCTTTTTGTACTGACATGGCATTGACATGGCGTTCCAAGTGTCAATGACATGGCATTTTCTGTTGACATGGAATTCCACATATCAATTAGAAAATTAAAATATTATGTTGCTCATGGGTTCGTACCTAAGACATGGAGATTATATGGTAGTAGTGCAACCAGCACACCAATCCTGATTAATAAATAAATCTAATAGAATTTAATAAATAATAAATATACAAATATATTTAAATTTAATTTAATTTAAATTTATTCTACTATAATATTTTATGTTAATTTATTTAAATTATTTTATTTTCATTTAATTTTATATAATTTAATTTATTATAATTTTATATTTTATTATTTTAATTTACATTATCTTTTAATTTAATTTGATTTATTCATACATAACTCTATATATATAATTGGCTATTAGATTTAATTATTAATCAGGATTGGTGTGGTGGTGGCATTGATATCATATTGTCTTCATGTCACAGGTTCGAATTTCATAGGCACAATAATTTTTTTATTTTCTAATTGACACGTGGAATGTCATGTCAGCAGAAAAAAAATGTCATGTCATTAACACGTGGAACGTCATGTCAGCAGAAAATGTCATGTCAATGTCATGACAGTACAAAAAGCTCGAATTGGGCACTGTGATTCGAATTACAAACAATAGTCAAAAGTGGTGTATTAAATTGCTAAATGGAATGTCATGTCACAAAAAAATGCCATGTCATTGACATGTGGAACGCCATGTCATTGACATGTGGAACGCCATGTCAGCGGAAAAATGTCATATCAACGCCATGTCAGTACAAAAAGCTCAAATTGGAGCTTGTGATTCGAATTGCAAACAATTAATTACAAATGTGCTGATTAAATTACAAAAACATGAAAGATGGTGTATTACTATGCAATTTTGCCTATAAAAAAAGTGACAAACATATGTGCATTTTGAGGATTTTATTTTCATTCTAATAAATAATAAAAAAAAAAAAAATTGACCCCCAGAAGATACCAGTTCATTTTCTTGCGTATGAGTTGGCTTTATTTTTTGGAGTGCCTTCAAAGAACGGTCTCTTAGATAAAATTACTTAGATACAAATGATTGAGTTTCAATTATATTTAATTACATAAAAGAACCTATATTATGTATTAAACCCATAAATTTTGACTTTTATTGATGAGCTCAAAGTCTGAATTCATCTAGGGAGTACTTGTATATAAAATAACTTCATATACTCACTTCATACTTAAAATTTAACTCAATTTGAACTCAATCACATTATCTTCAATATTATTAATATAATTAAATAATATTAATCAATTATTTCTACAGACCACATTAACTTTAATTCATTATTCATCCACTCACATAATTTTAAGTAACCATTACTTCACATCATATTTCTTCTAATTTTATATCAAATCAACTTTAGTTATTTTATTTTATATAATATTTTAATATAAACACAAAATCTCACTAACAACAAACTATACCATTTCTTTCAAAATTAATCATAATTGAAAAAAAACGCCCTGAGTAAATTGAGGAATTTGAAATTTGAAGGGAGTTCACATTATTGAATTTAATTATGCATAATATGAGTTGGAAATAATTGTCCATGATAGAAGTTATATTGAATTATATGTGTTCTTTTTCTAATAAAAAAATAGTCTTTTATTTTAATATTATTTTGAAATATATATATATATATATATATATATTTAATTTGAATTTTTGAATTAGGACTAGATATGTAGCTCAATTTGATCGAGTTCTAGCTTTAAACCTTTGTCGAGTCAAGATGAGATTTGGCCCCTTTTGGTTAACGAGTCGATAATCGAATTCGAGGTTGACTCGTTTATCAATATTAACAAAACGAACTTGTGTCTTAAAACAACCGAGTTTTAACGAACAGGCCTAAGGTATACATTTAAAAAATTACGTTAAAGACTTATTATCCCTCAACGAGCCACTCGACTTATTAATTAAACAAGTTGTAAACATGCTTGAGCTTTGCTTATTTATCAAAAAAGTTAATAGAACTCACGAACGATTTTTTTCTTTGAACAATTCTGCTGAGGTTTGTGGGTATATTTAATTTATATCCACATAAATTAACATATACATATATAAACTCATTTAATTTATATATATATAAATATATCTACTTGAAGCTTGAAAGCATTTAAATTCACCTGATCTCATCCTTCCCTATATATTAATTCAAACTGTGTTGAGTTTAAGTGGCAGAGTCGCATGCTTCGGACATTGACATGTCGAAAATCTATATTTCGTAATGTTGTTTGTATATTTATTTTTGCTCTGGAATTAGTAATAGACTGCATGAACTGCTCTGGAATTAGTAATAGACTGCATGAACCAATGGAGACTACCTATTTTTCCACCTCACCTGGTCAACATGGTCAGAGACTCAAGCATGCACAAGGAACGAGCACATGCAGCTCTCATTTTTCCAGCTCATAAACATAGTACAGGTTTTCTGGTTTTGTAGCAGGTTTATCGTCATAGGCCATGTGGCATTTATCTAGGATAGCATTGTAGAGATGAATGGTTGAGATTGCTTTTTACTCATGCATAAATAGATGATGGAGAGAGCAGCAGCCGAGTGCATTGATTACAACAAACCCTAATATAGCAATACATCCTTTTCCTTGTTCTTGGTGTTCTTGCTTTAATAATTATGAAATCAAAGATATCCTTTTATGGTATCAGAGCTGGTTAGCAAAACCAGTCTCTGACATCTCCTTTATTTTATCTGTTGATAGCAGCATCTCGAAAAATGGCAACCCAAAACTCAGATCCAATAATCCAACCTCAAAGCCAACTCATTAGTATCAGACTTTCAGATTCAAACTATCTCATATGGAGGCAAAAAGTCCTCGCAGCTGTAAGAGGATATGGTCTGGATTCCTTCCTAAATGGCAACACAAAGATCCCAGAAGAGTTCATCCAAGATCCAGATGCAGACACTCCAAGAATCAACTCAGCTTTTACCAACTGGGTAAAACAAGACCAACTGCTAGCCTCTTGGCTACTCTCTTCCCTCTCGGAATCAGTACTCATCTCAACCGTGGGATTAACAACCTCAACAGAGATCTGGAAACTCTTGAGACAACCTTCTCAAGCCAAAATGCAGCAAAGGTCATGCAATACAAGCTGAAGTTGCAGACTACAAAGAAGGGAAACACATCCATGAAGGACTTCTTAAACAACATTAAATCCTGCTGTGACTTGATCTCTGCTTCAGGACAAAGTGTGAGTGAGGAAGTTCAAGTTTCTCACATCTTAGCTGGCCTAGGAAATGAATGCAACTCAGCTGTGGTCTCCATCCTTTCCAGACCAGATCCACCCAGGCTAAGAGAAGTTCAATCCCTCTTTTTGAGTTTTGAAAACAGATTGGAATCTATTGAAGGATCCAACACTGAAGAATACAATCAATTCTCAATCAACTTTACGAATAGGAGAGGAGGCTTTAGAGGAGGTGGTAACTCACCTCACTTTCAGAGCGGTCAAGGAAACAACCAAAGGGGTGGAAGATCAAATAGAGGTGGCCCTTATAGAGGAAGAGGAGGAAGAAATGGTGGTAGGCCAAGGTGCCAAATCTGTCACTACAACAACCACACGGCTGAGAAGTGCTACTACAGATGTGATCTCAACTTCACTCCCAGACAGAACACAAACCCCAACTACCAAACCCAAGCTGCTCCAAATCAGATTCTAAATGGAGGTGCAGTCAATCTCACAGATGTCAATGGCAGTGTGGGCTCTCAATCAGAGTATTGGTATCCTGATTCAGGAGCTACCAATCATGTCACACATAATCTTTCCAACCTGAGCATTACAAATGAATATGCAGGAGATGAAAGGATCCATCTTGGCAATGGAGCAGGTATGAACATCTCTCATTTTGGTGATTCTGTAGTTATGTCCTCTGAAAACCAAAAGTTTCTTCTTAAAAGTCTTCTTCATGTGCCAAATATCACTAAAAACCTCATCAGTGTCTCTCAATTTGCAAGAGACAACAATGTGTTCTTTGAGTTTCATTCTTTATTTTGTCTTGTTAAGGATCAAGCTACAAAGGAGGTTCTACTCAAGGGAGCACTTAAAGATGGACTCTATAGCTTTTACCTTCAAACCAACATCTCTGAACCCAAGAAAACCTCTTCCACTTAACCACTGAACCAGAACTTATGCTTGTTGTCTGCAGAAGTTAAAAATAATGTTAGTTTAGATGTTTCGCACACTAGATTTGGACATGCTAGTATGGAGATTGTAAAAAAGGCTTTGACTGATTGTAATGTTCCTTTCCTTAATAAAAGTGAAGTTTTATGTCCCCCTTGCATGAAATCCAAAATGCATAAGCTTCCTTTTCCAATTTCAGATGGTAAAGATTATGGTCTTATTGAATTTATTCACTCAGATTTATGGGGACCAGCCCCATTGAAATCTTTTCAAGGGTTCAGCTATTATATTTCTTTTATTGAGTATTCCAGTAGAAACACATGGGTTTATCTGCTTAAACAAAAGTCAGACACTCATGATGCTTTTGTTCAGTTTAAAACCTTTGTTGAAAATCAGTATTCTAAGAGGATAAAGGTTTTTCAAAGTGATGGTGGTGGAGAGTTTATGGCTCTCACAAAGTTCTTTTCAGAGAATGGGATAAAATATCAAATATCATGTCCCTACACACCTGAGCAAAATGGAATGGCAGAAAGGAAGCATAGACATCTCATTCAAGTAGCTCTTTCACTTCTTTCTCAATCTAATCTGCCAACTTTTCATTGGGATGATGCAGTCTGTAGTGCTGCTTTCATTATAAATAGAACTCCAATCAAGATCCTAGGATATAAAACTCTTTCTGAAGTTCTGAACAACACTAAACCTGATTTTTCTCTTCTCAAGTCCTTTGGATGTTTATGCTACCCTCATATGAAACCATACAACCACAACAAGTTAGAATACAAAAGTCCACCAGGTGTGTTCCTTGGATATATCAGCAAACACAAAGGATATAGAGTGTTGTTACCAAGTAAAAGGGTGATCCTAACTAGACATGCCATTTTTGATGAGACACAATTCCCTTTTACCAACATGAAAGAAGAAAAAGATATTTCATTCTTGGGAACAAACTTCTCACCCTTAAACATTCTGAAACCTGATTTTAAATCTAACCAAAGTGTCCCAAATACACCATTACACAACCAAAATGAACACACTTCATCCTCATCTTCATCATCCACACAAAACAATGACCTCAGTTCTAACTCATCTCAGTCAACCTCTCATCATTTAGATGGACATATCTATATTGATTTGTCTATTGAGAGTAATATTCAAACTGTTGTTGTTGCTAATGTTCCTGTTGAGACTGTTGCTAAAAATGCAGGTGATCATCCTATGATTACAAGGGCAAAAGCAGGAATCCATAAACCCAAGATCTATTCAGTGACTCATGCTGAAATAAGAGAACCAAAAGATGACAATGAAGCTCTTCTCAGCATCAGTTGGAAAGCAGCTATGGCTAAGGAGTTTGAAGCATTTCACAAAAACAAAACCTGGACACTTACAACCTTGCCACCAGAGAAGACTCTTATAGGCAGCAAATGGGTTTATAAGCTTAAACATAATGCTGATGGCTCAGTGGCTAAACACAAAGCCAGGTTGGTTGCAAAGGGCTTCGCACATTTCCTGGTTTTGATTATGAAGAGACGTTTAGCCCTGTGGCTAAGATGGCAACAATTAGAACAATTCTGTCCATTGCCTTGGCTTTGAATTGGTGCATCAAGCAGATTGACATATATAATGCATTCCTCCATGCCAGTCTTGACACAGAACTTTACATGGAACAGCCTTTTGGTTTTGTCGCACCAGGAAATGCACACTTGGTATGCAAGCTTCAAAAGTCCATATATGGTTTAAAGCATGCCTCAAGAGCATGGTTCAACAAATTGGGAACCTTTTTACACTCCCTGCAGTTCAAAACATGTAATGCAGACAACTCCCTTTATTATAGACACTCAAATGGTCAAACCATCTTGGTACTTGTCTATGTGGATGATATGGTGATTACTGGGAGTAGTTCCACTGAAATTAAAAGACTAATTGACCAACTTGCTAAGGAATTTTCTCTCAAGGATCTTGGAAGCTTGCATTACTTCTTGGGAATAGAGATTAAGAGGACTGATAATGGACTAATGCTGAATCAGAAAAGATATATATTAGATCTTCTTGCTAGAGTTAAAATGCAGGACTCTAAGGGATTAGCTTCTCCTATAGTGAGCTCACCTGCCCTTTCAAAATTTGATGGACAGCCTATGGAAAATCCAACACATTATAGATCAGTAGTGGGAGCTTTGCAATATGCTACCATTACAAGGCGTGAGCTATCTTACAGTGTCAATAAGGTGTCACAATTCATGCAAACACCTCTCAACACTCACTGGAAGGCAGTGAAAAGGATTCTTAGGTATTTGGTAGGTTCTATGAATTATTGCATGCATTTTTATACTCCAAAAACTCTTCAGATAAATGCATAAGCAGATGCTGACTGGGGGTCAAACATTGATGATAGGAGATCAACAAGTGGTTTCTGCATTTTCTTGGGTCCAAACTTAATATCCTGGAGTCAGGGGCGGACCTAAGCGGGGGCCTCTAGGGGCACGGGCCCCTGTGTAATTTTTAAAAAGAATTAGTACATATATAATTATATTGTAAAATAATTAAAAAGAAATCTTTTTAAAATTTAAGTTGTTTGCATTATGTATTTGTATTATGTTGTACGCAATATATATAAATGAGTTAAATCGATTTTTCGCAAAATTCAATATTGATTAAATTTTTGAATGTGTAAGTGAGTTGCAATGCCAGAAGAGGGACAACTATCTGTGCAGTTATCACCTAAGATTCAATTGATACGTACGCAGCAGTAACTCCAAAACACTTGCTGGGAATGCACTGTGCGAGCGTGTCGATACAGCAGCTAGTGGGTAAAGTCATAGCGGTATGCCAGGTTTTCTCATACTCGACCATACAAACTTTTCGAAGCACATTTTGATACATATTGAATTTTAGGTGTTCTTAAGTTATAATTATATGTTTAAAATTAGCTAATTTATCATTGATTTTTTTAACTAATAAAATATTTATCTTTATTATAAGGAAATCCACGAATGCTGATGTTGTAAGAATATCGAATGCAAAAGAAAAAAAAATGTTGGTATTTGAAAAAAATATATTTAATGACATTTGAATTTATGTAATTATGATGATATAATATATAAGAACATGCAGAGAATAAATATTTTTTTTTTAACTTTGTAAAGGTTACATTTGTGCCTCCTCAGTCTTGCGAACCTGCGTCCGCCCCCGCCTGGAGTTTTACGAAGCAAAAGATTGTCTCTAGGTCAAGTACAGAGGCAGAATACAAGTCCCTAGCTCATACAACTTGTGATGTGGTTTGGCTTCAATCTTTACTGCAAGAACTCAAGGTACATGTTCCAAAATGTGCAAAAATTTGGATGGATAATCAAGGTGCAGTGAGCTTAGCAAGTAATTCTGTGT